GCTTTTTCACTTTTCATTTTTTCAGTCACAGAAGCGGCCGTGTCCTTCAGAGTGATTGATTTAATATCTATTTGTAACAAGCCGTAAACTTAGGTAATACTTAAGTTAGATTCTTAGATGTGGAGTGGGGAGCAAACAGAGAATCGGGCCAAATAGAGACAACAACAAAAAAAAATTCAAATCTGAAATTCACCCCGCTCTTCAGCGTTGGGACAGGAAGCAAAAAGATGCCACATGTACGGACACGCACTCTCCCCAAATGTGCCAACTACCTAAATACAACCGTCTCTGTGCTTGTGCGCACGCACACATACACACACACACACACACACATACACACAGTGATTACAGATGCAGTATATACTGCGCCTCCTGTCCAAGACCTTAATTACCCTGCACAGTCTTATTTCCCATAAATACAGCAAAAGCAGGGCTGTAATTAGGGCCTATATTTACCCCACCTGGCTAGAGGAGAACCCAGTTCACTGCTGGCCACAGGGATGAGCCAGCCCCACTCGACTACGCTGCCATGGGTGGAAGCAGGATACCAGTAGAACACAGGAGCCGTGGGATGGGGGGCATATAGGTACACCTCCTCCCCACATAAGATTAGTAAAAAAAAATGTTATCAACAGGTAGCTGTTCTAAAACATTCAACAAACTCTAAATGCCTGTGGTAGAATGGGACAGAACTCATAATAACCAATTGAAAGTACAAGTTCTGATGTTTCATTCCAATGAATAATGAGGTACTGGCAAACTAATTTTTACTTTATCTGGTATTGAATGACAAAACGTCCACTGTTCAAATGCAATATCTACCAGTGATTGATAACCAGCTAAATGCAAATACGTGATAAATAGAATGTGGTTACATGGTACTTCCAGGCTTCAAGGGTGAAAGAGCTCCGCCACAACAACCAGACAACTGATTTTGATTAGGGCAACAAATGATACACTAGTTGTGTTCCGCAAGGTCGGACATAAGAGAGCCGCTGTCTTGACTGCATCCAACTACTTTTGTAACTTTCCAAAACTTACAATCCGATGTTCGCACAATCACGCGGTCATTGGTCAGCTCCTCTTGAGCTTGCCTTTTTTTTTTTTTTTTTTTAATATTTGTCACGCAACTATTTGAGGCACTTTTCATGTGTTCAGCTGACAGCAACACTATGATTGTCTTGCTGTGGAGAAAATATGCGCCATAATCACCATTTGTAAACAACATCACGTCACTCCCCTCTCTATGACAGCCGACTTTTCACTCCACCTTCCAGTGTGGCCGTCTGCATCACTCATAAACACTTTTGATGTCCAACATGACAGAGTTGGCAGAACTAGTTCCTACTACAGGCTGTCTGACCAATGACTAACAAAAGCGGATGTGTGCCTGTGTCCTGAGAGACCATTTGTAGAGTTGGGTAGCAGCAAAAAATAAACCGATTAAAAAACTGGTGATACTAAATCATTACCTTTTGTCTTAGATTTTTTTTTTCTTTACGATGTACACATTTGTCTCTGTTACTGTACTACAAGTCAAACTCTTCCCACCTCAGCATAAGAGAAAATTATGCTTCACTCTGACGCTCCACAGCGTTCGTGAGATACCGTTCCCCAGAAATCTTTTCAGAGAAGAGCTGTGGTTTCTCTTGATGAGGACAACTGACTGGCTCTCATGCAAGACGCCAAACAGACCTCCCAGTGAGGTTACAAATTCAAATAGTTGGGACACTTCTCTGTTTACTTTGTGGCCACACTGGCCTTTCCCTGGCATCACATCACATCTACAACAACAAACTGATCACAATGAAAAGGGGAGAAAGTGCTTGAATATGCCCTCACGTCGGGCACAAACAATGTGGAATCTGCTTTAAACCACTGACACAATGTGAAATGTTCTGTTATGTTACGTTTTATGGTGATGAATATTGCTTTGCGGGTCTATGTAGAAATCAGAGCTTCACATTCTACTATGCATCCAAATTACTGCCCTCATCACGTTTGAGTGTGTTTAAGATTCATCGCCCGCATGTAAGCCCTGCTTACAGCAGATGGGGTGTTAATAGGAGTGGTGGTGGCTCTCCCATTCTCCAGAGAGAGAGAGAGAGCCACACATCTGAAAGCTGTCAGGGTGAGGCTCTGCCCACTCTGCTCTCCAAACTGAAGCCTCCCACAGCAGAACCGAGTGTATTTGAGAGAGATAGGAAGGGAGAACAAGAAAGAAAGGCAACACAAACCCAAAAAGGGAAGAGCAACCCTCTAATAACTTTGATCTGGGTCCTAACTCTTCTTTAGTTTGAGGTGGTGAAGCCATGTGGGGAGGGCAGTGTGCTGACTCAGGCTTTTGGTTCTCCTCTCCGTGGCACTGAGGATTAATGAGAGAGTGGGGAAGTAAGAGAAAGAGAGGAAAAGAAAAACACTCAGAGAGCCAAGAGACTAGTAGACTTGATCCCTGAGTGTCCTGGTGGCCCAGAAGTCGGAGGCAACCTTTTTTTACACCGCAGACCATTTATAAATTTGTAATTTCGTTGCAGAGCAGCCACGGGGGACAGAGAGGTCTCCCATTCTTACAGGCTTTTTCTTGATACTGAGTTTACAAATCGCACAGAAAGAGAAACGAGACAGAGAAAGCCAAGGAAAGACAAAGAAATGAGAGTCCGCAAAAGGGATAGTGGGCGAGCATAAAACCCAAACTAAACAAAAACTGGAACAACTTTATTTGGCCTGTCTTTCATTGTGGCTACTTGCTAAATTTAAAAAAAAAAAAAAGTACAGAGATCTGTCAGTGAGACACTCAGGTAGTGGTCACACAGATTTCACGTACAGCTGAATGCTGAAAAGTGGTGATGACGGACTGGTTACCTCTTGTACCAGTGACCTGCTTTAATTAAAAATCTGTCAAGTGTTGATGGAGGAGTGATGAGGAAAAATGCAGCACATATGAAACTTGTTTATAGAACTTATATGTTGGTCAAATCTTATCATTGCCTGTAGTGGTGGAACAACTATTCAGATCATTTACTTTAGTAAAAATAGCAATAAAACTGTGTAAAAATACAAGTCCAACTTCTGCATTAACCAAGGCCATGTAACAGCACAATGTACTTTGAGTATCAGAATCATAAAATCCTAAAATTACTCATTACACAAACACATTACACTCTAATTCTTTTATTATTAAAACAGTATTATATTATATTATAATTCAGCTGTACTTTAATTTTGTAACCGGTAAATGTACTGCTATTATTAGCTACTTCATATACTATTGGATGGTTTAATCTATACCAATGCACGATATATCATAAACTAATCACATGTTTTCTATGTAAAGTTGGAGTTTGCAAAGTAACTATAGCTGCCAAATAAATGTAGTGGAGAGAAAAGTGCAATATTTCCCACTGAAATGTAGTTAAGTGAAAGTATAAAGTATAAAGTTGCAGTACAAGTACAAGTACCTTGTGGCCCCAGGGATTAGGAACCACTGCTGTAAAGCACAAACCAAAAAAGCTAAAATCTAAAACACATTCCTGGTTTCAATTCTGCCTTAAGACCTTTCACATCTATTTTCCCCTTTTTCCCACATAAGGCCTGCTGCACACCACCGTCAACTATCTAATGAAGTCAATAATAACATAGACTTGGCTGGTATCTCCCAGCAGCAGTACATCCCCGCCACCAGTAACCACTGGGCTCTTACTGGAGACGCCGTTTCAGACATAGAGATAACCAAATACTGATTCAGTATAAACTAATGAGTCCTTCTGGCTGCACAAAGTGATTTAACTGCAATTTTATTTGAATTACTTCAAGTCATTTGTTACACAGAGCGCACGCAGCGACCCTGGACCTGGAATAGTATTTATTCAGGCAATCTGGGGCACTGTTGAAAAGCGCTGCTTGATGTCTGTATTGCGTGAGCAGTGAGAAAGAGACGGAGAGATTCCTTGCACTGCAGAAAAATATAACAGGCTGCTGAAAAGCGGTGCGTTAAAACGACTTCAACACTGATACACCTGATGTAAACATCCGCGTTCAAACACTGAAGAGGAGCCAGCCGACTCGGCTCATGTTACTAAAGCAAACACAGAGGCACATGCACTGTACTCACACACTGTTTAGTAAAAGGCGTACAGTTGTACGTGTGCCGCAAAGAAAATAATCCACATGTACCTGTTTCACTGTTGGCTCCCTGCCTGTCAGAGTCAATGACATCACATCACCTCTGAAACAGTGCGCCGTTCACGAAGGTGTCAAAAGTTTAAAAGCACACACGGAACGACACATGGGGGAACATACACGCAGACATAGCGCATGTACACAGATATTTCCATACAGATGTGCCTTCCAGGTATTTCTGCGGTCTAATGTGTAATCTGCTCCAGCATGTAGTGTTTTTGCAGGATTCCTTGTATTTACAAATGAGAGAGCCTGAGGCAGTGCCAAGCATCTCAGTAATTAAAACACCCTGGGAGGTCCGCCGTTGAAATGTGTGAGAATATTTGCTCTACACTGACCAGTCTCTCACAACACTCACCCTCCCTTCTTCATTTTAATCTTCACTCAACTCACAAACGCTCTACCTCTCTACTTTCTCATCGCTGCTGGTTGTGACCGAGGCCGTCGCGGCTCTGGCCTGGTTGTCGTTGATGAAAGATTTCAAATGAGGGAAAAAAAGAAAAAAGAAAAAAGAAGAAGAGTGGTGTGAGTGGAGAGGTTTGGTGCGGGATGGGCACCCGTGGGAAGAGGAGAGCAGCAACTTCATCCATAAATCAACAGTAGATGAATCACAAAGTGGCCCGTGGCGAGCTCTCTGGGTTGACATCAACATGTTTACCACTAGATGTAGTGTGGAGAAAAAAAAAAAAAAAAACTGCCTACAGTAAGTGGCAGTGGAGTGACAGGGACCAAACCTATTTCATTCTACCTTTTGTGTTTTGTTTAAATAGATCTACATCAAATTCTCAAAGGATTTTCTAAAGCTTTATAAGAGGACTTACCTGAACAGGTGTCAACTGGGCCCTGGGGTCAAACACTCGCAACATCTTGTCCTACACAGACGAGGAGAGAGAAGAAACTTTACTGAACTGAAGGAAGCTGGAAATGATTCATATTATGAATTAGGATAAATGATACAGTGTTATAAATCAGCTCAGCGCTGTCTGAGCTCAAAAACCTTTGGTTTTAAATCACATTTATGGCGGTTAGTTGGCAACTTGGTTCCCTCTCATTCTCAATGCTTCACTATATGGGCAGAAAGTGAAGTAAAGTAATAATAACATGTGAGGGCTGTGAGGCTAGTCTGTGGTTTACTGTGAATTCTGCCTTTGTGAGGAGTGTGAATGTGATGTGCAAGGGAGGTCCAACAGCAAATACGAGCTCAGGATTTAAGGTTCCAGCAAAGACAGGGGGGAAAGAATTGGGCCTCCTCAATCAGCTGTAATTATTTCATAGAAACTGAAATATGAAAGCTAAATATTGAAAACATTAGCCGTCTCTCCACCTCAGTGTAATTCGGAAAAAGAACAACACAAGCTCTCTGAAGTTTCCTCGTATATCAGTGTGATCTCACTGATTCATCGTGACCCCTCCACGGCCTTGTGCGCCTTGACCCCGACCAGCCTGAGCACGCATTCGGCATCAATCACAGCAGCCAATCAGAGAAGTTCCTTCATGATTGAGAGGAAATGGGGCCTAATGGGATCAGGCTGTGACCGGGACATGCGTGTCTGCAGCCGTGTCACTCAATACCACTGTGTGACTGTGATCACAGCAGCAGACTGACATATGGAGCTGATAGCAGGTAATAAGTAAAAGGGCTTAGACTAAACCACGCACACACTTAACAAACATATGTCAAAGGGAATCAGGAGGCACACAGTGACACAGTCAAGTACACACACTCACACACAGGGGGGCACTATGCACCATTCGGCCATACACAACATAAATACAGCATTTTATTCCATTATAGTTGAAGTGTTGAAGCCGATGATCAGTGTGGGTTTCAGCTTCTCTTTGATCTACTCCTCTCAGCAATCCAAAGGGGCATTTATTTGCTGTTTGTTAGCTTGAATAGCAAACATGGCTTTTATCTGGTGTGCCGTTTCTTTCTCTGCCTCTCTCTATCTGTGTATGTGTATGTCTATGTGTGTGTGTGTGTGTGTGTGTGTAGCCCACCCACGAATACGATGCCCCAAGGCTATGTCTTCAGGCCGCTGTGACCCGGGCCTAAGCCAAAGACTCGGAGAACAGTGTGGGAACACGCACACAAATCGGTTTTCCCAGCACATGACCTATGCATAAGATCCCACCTGTTGTAAAAATGCCAAATTCTGGCTAAATCCACCTCTGACCTATCAGCATTCTCTAAGTGTGCCAACACAGGACAACCACACGCACGGGTTCTGGTAAATGTTGGTTGATAAACTACGGTTGCTGCTAACAATTATTTTCATTATCAATTAATCACTCGTCTATAAAAAAAATCAGAAAATAGGTCAAAATGACCATCGTAATTTCCCATAGTCCAAGCTGACGTCGTCAAATGCCTTGTTTTGTACTAGCAGCAGTTTCAAACACAAAGATATTCAGTTTACTATCATACATAACAAAGAAGAAATTCTCACATTACAGCAGCTGGAACCAGCACATTTTTGCCATGTCTGGTTAAAATTACTCAAACTATTTGATTTATTTGATTTGATCATCAAAATAGTTGCAGATTAGTTTTCTGTTGATAGATGAGTTGATTAATCTACTAATTGTTGCTGCTCTATAGCAACCACACAAACACACTCAAACAAGCAAACACACTCTCCAAAGCCTATGACAATAATGCATATAATCTCATACACACACCACCTAACTACACTCATAAATGACAGAGGGCCAGGAGAGCAGTGTGTGCATTTGTGTTTGTGTGTCTGTGCTGAGACAGCAGCTGTTTAATCAAAGCGGCGGAGCCTCATTCTCAAGCTGCTGTTAATGAGTTTTCACTGCTGGTCTGCTGCACACAACTTTCTCATGTATTTAAACACACGGTCGCTGAAATCTTCAGCCAGGGGTGCTCTCCTCACTCATCAAACACATGGCGCTGCCATCCTACCGTTCCTAATCTCCCATGGTTACCAGTGTCAAAGCCTGCTGTGACTGTCGATTTGAGAATGCAGGACGTCTTCATCAATAAATGTGCCTCACTCTTCACTGAGAAATATTGTGCGGAGCCCAGTTTGAATGTGACTTTTAAAATTCAAGGTGAACCGTGGACCATAAATCTAGTGACACCTCATTTCCAAACTGCACACCGCCCAGGCCTGTCCATCATTCGGATAAACACAGACTTTCCTCCATCCCTGCTCACACTACCTGTGGATTTCCCTTTCCAAAACTGAATGGCGCCTTTCTCCCTCCAAGTGCGTCATAAATATACATCTCTCTAAGTCCAAACGAAGCCTGTCATGATTCCTGCTCTTTGGGGTGGTGGTCTCCCCTTCATCTTCCCCGACCTCAGCCCTGTGCCCCAATGTTTACCCTATGGGAGGGCCGGGGGATTGGACCCACATGTTGGCAGGCCTTATTTGCTTTAATAAGCTGGATTGGAGAGATTGAAAGGGGTCTTTTGGGTTAAATGACACCAGAGCCCAACAGGAGGCCCCCAGCTCTGATCTTGGCTCACATTTCCCCAAGCTCCCTTTCTTTTCAGGTGCCTTGTTCTTTCAGACTGCACTGAGGCCGATGGTAGCTCTGCTCAGGATGATTATCCTGTCAAAGTAAATGCCATCATTTGGATGTAGCCCGTGATGGGTGGAGTAATTTGTTACTTGTCAGAGCAAAGATAAACAAGGGGGATTGGCCTGACAATCATACCTGTTCAGTATGCACATGTTGTAGATTATTGTGTCAAAGTTTATTTGGTCTCTAACACAAGTTAGTTCATCATGCATTGTCTAAAGTATACACCAGGGGCTTCTGGCTCATTTTCACATCAATCAGTCAATGCCTGGTTTCAAAAAGGATGCAAATGCATACAGACATTCACTCTAGTGCACAATCTGAGAGTTAAGAAAATGCCACTGGCTTTTCCCATAAACCAAATATATTCATGAAACAATCCCACCTAAACTCATAAATCCCTTCTTTCTCTGCCCCCTACTCTTAAACCCATACCACCCCCTCCTTCCTCCTCCGACACAAAAATATTAACAACCTAATGGAAAGCCCCTCAAGCTCTGTGATTGTTTCCTGATGACAAAGATGAGAACGGTGCCATATGGATGCATAAAAATCCATAGACTTTCTCTTTTTTCTTAGCTTCCCCCTGTGCCACATAACTACTGTACATGTCAAAGGAATTACAGTCTTCAGTTCCTGATTAGACTTAAACTTGCATCAGGGGACGATGGGGTTCGAAGGGGCTTACAGGGCTGTGCTCTGGGGATAGGAGGTTAGGGGTCAGTTTGGGTCAAGACAAAACAAAAGCCATGATAGATTTATCCTTCACATGCAGGCGTGTGCCCTTATTAGTGCCTTAATTGCCAAGTTACTACAGTTTCCAATCTGATGAGGAAAATTTCCACAGGCCCATTATCATCTGTGGCCAAGATTTCTTTAACTGCTTTGTCATCACTACTACCATACTAAGACAAATTGGCTATTATGTCTTTTACGTCATAGGGCTCTCCAAGTTTATTCTTTTTTTCCTGTAAAGAACTGCTCTTTAATTCCTAATCCAATGTGTGATGTGATCCCCACCCTTTTTATGAGCATCACCCCTGTTGACATTTTGATGAAATAAACCCCATATAAGCAGATAAGGAGCTGCGGTGTCCAATGTGAGGCACGCTGCACTGAATGTGAGCCACTGGCTGCATCTAGTGGTCACACAATGCAACTACAGCAAACCAACCCCCGAACCATACACAGACAAAGTTGGTGAGGGAATAAAACAAAATACAACTTTTACTTTACAAAAGGTGAAGTGATGAAGGTCATTGCAATATATCTGGAGCAGCGTGAGCCATCCTCACCTTGCAGGAGGAAGCCAGCAGGGAGCCGTCCTGTTTCCAGCTCAGACTCTGCAGCTGGTCGCTGTGCTGCTCCAGAACTGCAGACACACATATCAACATAGAGAGAGATGAGAGGAGGAAAGGACTAGAGACACAATGTTGATGTGAGACATGGACAAAAATGATAAAAAAAAAAAAAAAACATCGTTGATAATGCAAACAGTGAACACAGAATGACTGCACACACACAAACAAGACAAAGAACATGGATATCTAACATCTGAGAGGTCACTGCAGGAAAAACGCAGGGAAGACATGAAGCCATAAATCAAGCACACAAAATTCAGAAAACACACAATTACACACCAAAATGGGGATGATTTACACCAAAGATCATATGTCCTTACAGTTTAGACATATGAGAGAAATTATGAGCATGACACATGTATTAGCTTGCGGTGCCATAAGTGAGCACAGCGCAGCTTGTGTGAATTGTTCAGTTTCACCATGACAACAAACAGATGAAAAGAGATGAGAAGTGCACTTGTTAAGACAGCTACACACAAAGTGCGACATGAACTTAGATAGTCGAGGAAAAAAAAATAGAACTCAAACACACACTCATTCAAATATAGATTTCTATCGCTCAGAACTTGTTCCTCAGCTACATGTGAATGAGGAATGACGGTGATGAAAGAGAGTGTGGGGGGGTACAGCTCATGAAAAGTTGGATCAGCAGTGAGCAGCAGCAGCCAGGCCAGCTGTCAGGGGATGGAATGGGGGGGAGGGGGCAGTGTTTGTAGGGGTGGGGTGAGGCCAGAGGATAGTGACAATATCCTGAGGCCAGTCTGGGGAGACTGGGACCAGGACTGCAAAACCAAAAAAAAATTACCTCTGCTGCTCCAGCACTTAGACAGAGCCACAGGGCTGTAAAACGTAGGCAGTCAGTCAGACAGTCCCCAACGAAAGAAAAGAAAGCAACCACTTCACTCCACTTCAGATATATATTTATGTTACACACAGAAACAAAACAGACCACAACAAAACTTGAAGACTAACTGACAGAGACTGAAATGTTAAATGTAACAGACAGTGCAGGATGTACGACAAAGACTTTGACAAAGTCATTTTCTCGTGATGTGTGCTCTTTAATTCAAATAAAACTGTGCGCACAAACAATTGTTTGTACATGCACACCTCATGAGTCCAGCTGTAGCTACCTGCTAATGGTGCATCCTGGCGACTGGTGTCCCAAATCAGGGGAGACTTAACAGTGCCGACAGCCAGCAACCCAGAGGAGGTGGGGTGGAAGTGCACCAGCTCCAGCCTGCCCTGAGCTGGACGCAGGGTCAGCTCTGGACTGCTGGGCTGCTCCAGCTCTGGATCACACAAACGCCACAGCTTCACCTGCACACACAGAGAGGGGAATCAATAAAATAATATAAAATGATGGATCTATTTTGATGGATGTAGTCTTCACACCTCAGTGAATTCCTGCTGTTTTGAACACGAAATTAAATGCTCATGATTGTATGCTGAGACCGGTGTCTTTAAAGCAACATCAGACAAAACAGACTTATATAACCAACTGTATGACCATCTGCTGATTGTGGTAATTTCTGCTGAAGTTATTAAGTCTTCCAGATGGAGCAGGCCGGGGTTGGAGAGGATCGCTACAGAAAGCAGCTAAAATTTCAGGATGCAGCATCGCAGCCAGAGATCAGGAGATCCTTCAAGGAAAACATAGTTTTTACATAGATCCTCCCAAACTCTTGTTTCTGAGTCTGCATATGGATCTTATGAAGTGAAACTGCTTGATAATGAGTTTAAGTTAGCAAAATACACCCCTGAGATGTAATTCACAAGGGGATACTCTCTCAGTTTCACTCTAATTTCACCTGCTCAGCACCTGGTGAAGCAATACGCCCTGTTGGCAAAAGATAAGCAGAGTGAAAGTGAGCTGCAGATGCTGGGCACTGCAGACCACTCCATTTATATGTATGTGTGTGTGTGTGTGTGTGTGTGTGTGTGCTATAGGTCTATGTGTGGCAATAGTTGTGTGTGTTTACACAGGGCTCTGAGGTAAACCAAGCTGCTGCGTCTGAAGATGCAGGACCACACTCAGCAGATTCCAGTAAGCCAGGGCACCTGTGGCTGAGGATAATGTGCTGAGAGGAGAGAGCCTTCAAAAGGTTTAAATAACAAAAACCGAAGCGGTTCATATTGCAGTCAAAGTCCAGCCAGGAACAACAAAGCCTGAGAGGATGGAAAATGCACTTCAGTGTAAGTATACCTCAGCAAAATAAAGCAAGATCAATACAGAGAAAGAAAGTGAGAAACAAATAAAAGACAAAAAGAAAGACAGCACTGAAGAGCTCACCGTCTCATCTCCAGAGCATGTTGCCAGGAGACTCTCATCAAAAGGAGAAAAGTCCATATCAGTCACTAGATCTGGCAGAGAGGAGGGAAAACAAATGTAAAATAAAAATTAGATCTGGGTCACAGCTGTCTAGATTGATTTCATTTCTGAGCCAATACATTTGCATTTCTCATGTGATTTGAAAAAGAGAAAAAAAAAGTGTCCTCTAGGGTTGGAGTGATGATATTTATGCAGACAGAACATAGAAGAGACAGCAAAGGACTGCAAGAAAATATTGTGCTGATAAAAGTATGAAGAAAAACTACCAGAATGGCAAGAGATCTGGGTGACTGTCCATTGTCCATCTGAGCCTGGTTTGACTGAAGACAGGCCCAGCATACCTCCACCTGTAGACACAGGAAACATCACACACACACAGACAATGACATCCATCATACTTTAACCAAGCACTCCCCGGTTTATGGTGCCAACTACTGCCTCAAAATCCCAAATTTCCTCCCAGCTCTCTGTGGATTATTGCTCACTGTAACTAAATAATATATATTTTATATTTTTCTTCAATAAAGAAAATGTTCTGTCTCTCTTCTTGGGAAATCTTCTGTTTTTGGCTGTGCTTTGTGTTTGATTTTAATTTGATTCAGCCTTCTCCACATTCTCATCTGATAAAATGTGGACATTTGATGAAACAAAAGCAAATGTGTGTTTAAACTGTAGACAGTGAATCCTTCTGTTTCCATGAAGCAAACTGATGACCACACTTTTATAGCCTTACCAGCCTGCTCGGTGTTGAAGGCCACCAGCTTGGAGCTCGCTTTGATGTGGTTCCCCTGGCAGGAGAAGGAACCAGCACGGAGGTTGTTGATCCATCCCTGGATTTAAAGACACAGAGAGCACAAGTAAGAGTTCATAGTAGATGAAACAAGGGTAACATAATGCACATCAATAACTGGGATCACACAACATAACAGAGAAAAGTATCATTCCGACTAAGTGTTTCATCAGACCACAGTGTAATGGAATTTGAAAATTAAGAGAATCATAAGTGTTCACTTGACATGTGCAAACAAGAGCATACCAGCAAGCTGCACTGAAGAATCCAATAGAAAAACACTGCTCATGTGTTTCATTATTCTAAAAAGCACACGCAACTGAGTTGCTTTCACAACCAGACTAAGAGAAAGACATAAACAGGAAGAATCTGGCTGAGAGCACGCACGCACACACACACACACACACACACACAAGTGCCTCTGAATGAGCAAAGTGTTGAGGAAGTGGAAGGGCTCCCTGCATTGCACAGCACAAAAAACTCTTAAAACCTCTTTCATAACATTAACAAGGCAAGAGCGCCAAGAGGACAGAGTGTCTGCACAACACTCTCCAACAACTACTGCTTCATTGCTCCTCCGAAAATTGTTAGACCAACCATGACAGGCATTTGGCCCACAGAGGGCACTTAATAGCTGAAACAGCTTGGTGAGGAAAGATGTATTACTGCTCTGTTTATGTACACATGCGTTTAAAAGCCCAATTGTGAGTGAAGTGTGCATCTATTTTAACTTGATTACATAATTTTGTATGCGTGTCTGTCGAATGACAAGTAAACAATGAATACAAATATTGCTGATGTATCACAAGCTTACACTCACACTGTGCAGTAGCAGTTTCATTTGGAAGAAAGATTCAATAAATGAATTGTGATCTAGCCATACATGAAGTGCTTATTATTATTCTCATGATTATTACTCAATTCCTCTGCCACTGGCTACCTGCATAAGAGTTTCGTCAATGTAATTTTATTTTCTCCCAAAACAAATCTTGGTTAGATTTCAAGCAGGTACAATTATTCCACTCTATCACCTGCGTTTTAAGCCTCTAGCTACAGAGATAGAAGGGCTGTATCAGGAGCATCCTAACCTGCATGGATAATATCAAGGACACATGTATAATATATATGCTATGCATTTTCTGCATTTAAGAGTTGAACTGAACACCTTCTGTTGTGAATCCATCTGCAGGCCTTTGATTAGAATGAACTAAGGCACCAGAGACTGTGTTCAGTGAGTTCAAATGAGTTACCAAAGTTCATTCTTAGACTACGTTTTGACTACTCTCTCTCTCTTATTATGTAGAAAATTCAAGCTGTTCTGGATCATCTGAAGAGAAAATGCCCTACTTATCTTTGCTTGCATGTCTCCCAATCCCCCCAATCCCTCCAACCTGCGTCTCTCCTCACTTGCCCCATTTTCTTTCTTGTACAGTGTTTAACGTGACAGCTCCTGTCACATGACTTCATGATTGGAATAGCCACACATATTCACTTGTCTGCTGTATAAAGGGGTAGTTGAACATTCACAGCTACAAAGCACCACCTGCTGTCTCAGATCCTGTGCAGAGATTGGAGAGATACCAAGAACATCCTCTGCCTCTGTACATACCAAGCATTTCACTGCCTCAGTAAAAACAAGGCAGGGGATTACATAATACACCTGAGCCAGGAAAGCTGCAGGGGTTGCAACTTGACAAAAATGGGTCCACAGGGTCTCAAAGAATGGCAATGTGCATATTTGTATGTAAGGCACTCCAGTCCAGTCCAGACAAGCCGCCTCTTGCAGCCTCCAGGACAGCCATCATTGAAAGAGAGGCATCTTGATAGCAATATCACTTATCACATTTGCCTTTCAAATGTATATCTTTCCCTTTGGCTGAAACAGAAAATCTGTGCAGACAGAAAGAACTCCAAGTGTGTAATCAAAAACTGTTGATTACTGAAAATCAATGAGAAAACTCAGTTAGCTATAGTATAATGGCATTATAATGGACGTCACTGCAACATCAGATGTAGGCTAGCAGCTCTATGCAACCACATGGCTCGTAGTTTTCACTAGTTGCCTTTAATTTGTATGAATACAAGTGTGTGGATTCAAATTTTCGTGTACTTCTCTCAGTACTATGCAGCCTTCCAGATGCAGGAAGTTCAATATCCCTAGCAGGCAGGCAGGCGTTCCCCAAAACACCACTTAAGTAGCACGGCTATTAACCAGTGCTAATGTTAGCTAGGAAATTTGGCTCTACCCAGACGCTCGCGAGCTACTCACATCTTTCTTGGCAATTTTCGGAGTGGTGTTTTTGAATTTGGAGGTCTTAAAGCGATTCATGCTGCCCCTCTCAAATTGACTTTCGTGCCTTCCGGGTGTCTCTGTCGAGCTGGTTGGTACTCTGCAGAGGGCTTCTGCTACAGCTGACAGCTCAGATTCTCCGAGCGGTGTATGCTCGCTTTGCTCCTCAGAGTTGTCCGATTGGGCGGACTTTTCCTTTTCACACACAAGAGAACACCCCCCCCACCCGAGCTGCCACGTGCTACCCTGGGTCTTAAAACATGTGCATCCTTTTTTTTTAACTTGACACTTGTGATGCTCACTTGCAAAATGAAACTGGTAATGTTTGAATAATTTTGGTCAGTCGTAACTTATACCTGCTGTAGCCTTTCACGTGGAGTTTATAAAAAGGAGGAGTACAATTTAACAAAAACTATTACAACTCGTTTTTCTTGAGAGAGCATCATCTTGAATCATACTGAATATCTTTGCGCTGTCAGTGACGCCCACTCCGTCCCGGACATGCGCAGTGTGTTCGCAGCGGCGACTAGTGAAAGAATGATGGCGTCCTCGGCTGCTCGCTGCTCCTCACGCTGGATTACAGTCATCGCGTCCTCTGGACATCGCCGGGCCGCCGGAGCTGTTGTCTGCACCAGCCATGGAGGGGTCCGCAGTATTTCTACAGTGGGAGCGGAAAAACTGTGGCGAGGAGGGAGCCTTGTGTGCGGAGGGGCAGGGAAGGCGTTGACATTGAGAGGGCTGTCAGGTGAGTGCTGTATTAGCCATATGGTATTGGCCTGGGCTAGGCTAGGCTAATTTTTTGGAGTAATTTCTGGTGTTCTCGTGTGACGCAGGGTCAGACAAATGACTTAACATAGCCAGATAACGGCTCAAGCGAACGTTTAAGATAAGATGCGCTTATAACACAAACGCATTTGCTTGCATACGCGAGGAGATAGTTGATCTAACGTGATGTGATCAGTCTTGCTAACTTTGGTTTACAGTCATCAAGTTGAAGATGCAAGGTGATGCCGGTGGCACATTGTATTCTATGACCGGTTAGACTCTGTGACCTGTTTAGTCAGTTGTTTCTTAAATTTGTCTTTGTTATTGCTAATGGCGGAGTCACTAGCATACTGTTTACCCGCAAATAAATCATCTCCGGCTTTACAAGCGTTTGTGTTTCTAGAATGTTCTTACTATAGAGCTGATTAACGTAACCTGTCCAACTTTTGCAAATAAGTGTTTACTACATTTATTAACTTCACCAACGGTGATTAGCTATGATAACATGCAAAACAAGCTAATTCAACTGTCACGCAGTGACAAATCTGTATAGTCAATTACCAATTGACACCTGCAACCTGCATGTAGCTATAATGCTGCTCTTCTAAACGGAATTATTTACCCTTTTACCCTGTTTTGACACATGCACAGGTCTCAAATCGCCCCATGTTGTCTGCACACTGTCATTTCATACAAGTGCCCCTGCTAGCAGCAAGCAGGACTTCTACCAGGTCCTTGGGGTACCTCGCACCGCAACCCAGAAAGAGATCAAGAAAGCCTACTACCAGGTCTGTTCCTCCCTGACACATGTTTACAGTTTGTATTGGTTCTCAGCCAATCATCACAGTAGTTGACAGTGTGTTTGTTCTCCCTCAGATGGCCAAAAAGTACCACCCTGACACCAACAAAGATGACCCACAAGCCAAGGAAAAATTTGCTCAACTGGCTGAAGCTTACGAGGTTTGGTGTCTCGTCTTTCTTCAAGCTTTCACTTGACATATCTACTCTATATTTGTTCCCACAGTTATGGTGTATTTGCTTTGAAATCTATGAATAATCATTTCTTCCACCTCAAACTATCACATCAGAAATACAAATTAACCTTGCTCGATGTCTCTCTCAGGTCCTCAGTGATGAAACCAAGAGGAAACAGTATGACACGTATGGCTCAGCGGGCTTCGACGCTGGTCAGGCTGGTGGAGGGCAGCACTACTGGACTGGACAGGCCAGCAGCGTGGACCCAGAGGAGCTCTTCCGCAAGATCTTTGGGGAATTCTCAGGAGGACGTGGGTTTGGAGACTTCAACGCCATGTTTGAACAGCCACAGGAGGTTGGTGGGATAGAGTGCCCTTGATTATGCTTTTGGTTTGATTTGGTCATTTTTATCGGTGCATATTCAGAGTGATGAGTTTCTGGCTCCCTCTTTTTGTGGCACAGTACATCCTGGAGCTGACGTTCACCCAGGCAGCAAAGGGGGTCAACAAAGAGATTTCTGTTCAAATAGACGCATCCTGCCAGCGCTGCGATGGTAAGGGCCATGAGCCAGGCACTAAGGTCCAGCACTGTCACTACTGCAACGGCTCTGGCATGGTAAGGGCTCTGACACCCTCTTCTATTGTTCTTTTAAAGTGTGTGTATTGTATCACTAAACAAATGTATCATCCCCACCTGTAGGAGACAGTGAATACGGGGCCATTTGTGATGCGCTCCACATGCCGTCGCTGTGGCGGCAAAGGCACAGTCATTTCCACCCCCTGTCACTCCTGCCGTGGGACAGGACAGACCAAGCAGAGGCAGACTGTGATGGTTCCTGTGCCAGCAGGTCGGTCACACTCAACTCCCTGTCCCACTCAATACTGTTAACATACTATAAGTACTTCAGGGTTGTTTTTTTACTTATCACTATTAATGAACATGAAAAGTCACCCAGCAGTCACGAGCAACTTCTGTTTGCTTTCCTGCAGATTTTCCTAACCTCCTAGATGTTGCAGGCTTTTATTGTTTTAAAAACCGCATACACTGCATGATAATACCATGATAGAATAAATGAAATAGTTTGAGCCTTGACTGAAATTAAATCTGTAGGTTAATGCTGTTCGTCACAAATCATAATGAAAATTAAAGTATAACTTATCCTTTAAGTTAAAGTCCAACAGAGCCCGACCATGATTCTATCCACCTTTCAAGCCTAATTTGAGGCTTTTCATACCCAAAACAGATTTCTACATTTAACTGTAATATAGATGATGTAACCATCTAAATGGATTGTTTTTGCTTTAAGGAGTGGAGGATGGTCAGACAGTCAGAATGCCAGTTGGTAAGAAGGAGATCTTCATCACATTCAGGGTGAGTATCTGTATCATCATCATCATCATCATCACCACAACAACAGTGTAACAAACCCAGGCCAAAAATAAATGAGCTCTCCAGGAAGTGCTTGTTCACCTCCTTAATGAGATTGTCTCGTATGTCTGTGTGTGGACGAGTGAGAGGCACTGAGCTGTCTGAGCTCTTTGATTTCAAATTAACATACCACAGATAAACTGAGGTGCACTGTTTTTTAATACCGTGTGTGATTGATTGAGATGTGTTCGGGTTCTGGATCCAGGTCCAGAAAAGTCCATTGTTCAGGAGGGACGGCGCAGACATCCACTCTGACCTTCATGTCTCCGTGGCACAAGCCATTTTGGGCGGCACGGCCAGAGCACAGGGCCTTTATGAAGCACTCAACTTATCAGTAAGTAGACACGGACATTCTCAGGGGAAACATTTCAAACACATAATAACACACTAATAGAATATAAAGAGGCAGCTTGATAGTTTTTATTTCATTGGTGGGTTTTTTTTTTCCCCCGTCTTCAGATCCCTGCAGGCATCCAGACAGACCAGAGGATCCGACTTGCGGGGAAGGGAATCGCTCGTGTCACTGGCTATGGCTTTGGAGACCACTACGTCCATGTCAAAATAAAAGTACCCAAGTAAGACTCCACAGACAAACACACATATTGTTCATTTTGCTCTTTTTATTCCCTGGAGACACAAAAGGACCTTGTGATTAAAAGAAATAAATAGCAAAATAGCAAATAAAAGCAAAACAGCACACAAAAAAAATCCAAATCACAAGGAATATGAATAAGATGTTTAGATGACAGAAGTCGTTTTCCTCTGCAGGACACTGACAGACAGACAGAGAGCTCTGCTAATGAGCTATGCTGAGGACGAGACGGAGGTGGAGGGGACGGTGAACGGTGTCACTGCCACCACCACAGGTAAGAGAAAAACTCTCCATGTTCCTACTTTCCTTTACTGACATGGGGTTGTTAGGGAAAGGACGGTGCAGTTTCAATCTCTATCCAGGTGGGGGCAGCAGAGGCAAGCAGTCTGAGGCAGGGCAAAGCAAGACAAGGCATGACGAGCGGGAAGCAGAGTTGAAACGGGGGGGGGGTTAAGTGATACACCACAAAGAGTCCTTCCTACAACCATTTTGTTTTTACTTCTTCTTTAAGGTAAAAGATCCTGGAACTGAGAGGCTCCATCAGCGTCAGAGGGCAGAGAGGTGGACAGCGTACAGCAAAAACGGCCCCATTATAGAGAACAAGACAGAGGTGTGAGAAGTACTTGGTGGTGGTTGAGGACCTACAAGGGACCTTGATGGATCAGTACAGGTCTACCTACCATTCCCTGCAGTGGATAAAGAAGAGGATTACCTGCTCTGTTCCTCTGCCCAAGTGGATCCACACACAAGAGGATGTTCCAGTGCACCAATCACCTCTCTGTAAAAGGTCCATGGAAACATGATGATAACAAAATCCATGCGAACAAAATAAATTATTGTATTGACAAGGACTACAAATACAGTCAAAACTTTTATTCAGGATTAAATGACCCTCCTGTATTTAATCCTTTTGTTCTGTTCTCTTTGGTTTTGTTTTCACAAATGCTTGAATTTCTCCTAAAACTCTCTCAGCACTGTCAGTCCTTACAGGTTGAACATTGTCAGACTACATGTTTACTTTTGAGTTTTAATTGTTGGACAGTGTAGAAATGTGTCTCCAGTGGTTATTTTGCGCTTCTCTCTCTGATGGAGGATTACACTGTGAAAGTTTTAGGCTTTCCTGAACTATGAACCCTGATAAACATGATACGTCCCTCTTTTAACCCTTTGCATTGTGAGAGAGAAATCACTTGGGAGTTCTGAACCATAATTACATTTGTACATAGACAGTGGTAGATTATACATGCAACAATGTGTCATAGAAGAAATATACTGTACAGCTATAATAAAGCTATGGTCTGGGAAAAGCCTCTGTTTTATATAAATTAGAAAGGAAGTATAAAAAAACAACTGATTGCTTGGATATAA